TTATCAAATTAGTAAAGATTAAAAAAATAAGATTCAAAGTTACAAAGATACACAAAGATAGGCCCTCACAATCACTTCAAGTGAAAATATTAATCTAGTCTTTATGAAATTGCAATTTGACAGCAGTATTTTTTAAATTTTCATGCTCTTTGACCCACTAATTAAACTTCTGAGAATCTAACCTAAGGAAATAATGAGTGATTTGTACAAAAATTTATTCTCAATTTTTTTCACTTGTTAATAATGGTGTAAAAAATCAAAACGTCCAAACACACAGTTAAATTTTGCACCATTGATAAAATAGGGTGTTAAACATCTATTTAAATTGTTTTCAAATAATTTTGATGTTGAGGAAAACCATGATATATGTAGAATGGAAAAGCAGATACAAAATTCTACTGTAGTAAAATGAACCCAACTACCTGTATGTTTATGTGAGTGTGTCTGTGTGTATCAAAGAAAAAAAAAGACTTAAAGAAAGTGAAGTGAAAGTTGCTTAGGCACGCCTGACTCTCTGCAATCCCATAGACTATACGGTCCATGGAATTCTCCAGGCCAGAATATTGGAGTGGGTAGCCTTTCCCTTCTTGAGGGGATCTTTCCAACCCAGGGATCGAACTCAAGTCTCCCACATTGTGGGCAGATTCTTTACCAACTGAGCTATCAGGGAAGTAAATAGGACTTCTCACCAGAACAAATTATGGGCCAGTCTATCTTCTTCATAATTTATTTTTTCCCTGATTTTCTATAATTAGCAATATAATTCTTATTTTTAAAACATGTATGTTTGTATATGTAAATAGAGAACAAGAATTATACATAACATGAAAAAAGATTTTAAAAATGATTAATTGGTAAATCACTCAAATGGAGGTGTTGGTTGAAGTCACGGAAATAGCTCAGATTGTTCAGGGAGAGAGTAGAAGGAGAACAGGATGCTGGAGAGGGTCACAGGAAACATATACATTTAAGGGGTAAAAAGACTGAATTAGTGAAGGAGCATGGAAGGAAGCAGCTAGATGGAAAACCAGGTATTGTCACATCAAGAAAGCCACATGGTGGACTTCCCTGGTGGTCCAGTGGTTAAGAAATCTGTACTTCCACTGCAAGGGGTGCAGGTTTGATCCCTGGTCGGGAAACTAATATCCTGCATGCCACATGGTGTGGCCACAAAAAAAAGTAACATGATACGAAGAACCAGAAAAGTTGTCCACATGGTCGAACGTTGCCAACAGTAAGGAGGAGGATAGTGACAGGGCCAATAGAGAGAAATCACTGGGTACTACACATGAACAGATTGGTTTCCTCTAGCTCTGGTGAAGTAAGTGTTAGTCACTCAGTCATGTCCAACTCTTTGTGACCCCATAGACTATAGCCCACCAGGTTCCTCTGTCCATGGGATGCTCCAGTCAAGAATATTGGAGTGGGTTGCCGTTCCCTTCTCCAGGGGATCTTCCTGACCCAGGAGTCGAGTCTGGGTCTCCAGCATTATAGGCAGGTTCTTCCCATCTGAGCCACGAGGGAAACTTCTAATTCTGGTGGTGGAAACCAAATCTGAGCGAATGGTACCTATTCAATAAAACTGACTGTGAAGAAAAGAAGTCCTGTGCCTAAATTACCTGCTTAAACTTCAGTTTATGGGGGAAAAAAGATTGCGGAAATCTAAAACCAAGTAAAAGCATATTAGGATGACTAATCTATTGGTAATGAAACAAAAACTGGCAATACTTTGGTGTACAAGAAAAAACATGTCTGAGGGATTGTAAAGTTTCCATATAGTAAGCTCTGTTATAGAATAATAAAGGGAAAAAACAGCTCCACACTTGTTATCAGAAGGACAAAAAAACTGTTACCTTTTTCCCCTAAAGATGCAGGTTCTCAGTTTCAGAGCAGTATTATTTAAAAGTAAAAATAATGTAAATTATCACAGTATCAGTTACTTCTTGAGACTGGACATGTGAAGTTTCCAGAAACATTTTCAAATATAAACAAATCATTTGACATGCTAAATAATGGATTGTTTGTTGAGTCAAACCTTGTCTTTTTGTAATAATCAGATGAAATTAACCTTCTCATAGGCCATTAATTAAATATACACCTTGTCAATGATAAATAAATGTCCCAGTCTGGAGAGGGGATGCTGATAATGGGGGCAACCATGGATATGGACTTCCAACCTACAGAACTGAGAGATAATAAATAAATGTTGGCTTAAGAAACTAAAAAAAAAAAACACTAAAAACCCTCATCTTTTTATTAAAAGATGTCTGCATTAGCACAATAACTTGACTGAGTCTCAAGGACTCTCTATCCAGCCACAGAATAAACACACCAGAATGGTCCTAACCAGGAGTACCATTTACCATAGAATCTCAATCCTGCAACCCTCAAGCAGAAACTACTCAATTTACAACCACTCATTTTGTTACTAAAGAACCTTGAGAGTCTGTGTTAAGTAACTTAACATCACCTGGAGATTATTGTACACAATCCAAAATAAAGTACCTAAACTTCCTATCAAAAAACATGCAGTGAATAGACCATGCATGTGTGCTCAGCTGTATTGGAGTCTTTTTGCAATCCCATGGACTGTAGCCCACCAGTCTCCTCTGTCCATGCGATTTCCCAGGTAAGAATACTGGATTGGGTTGCCATTTCCTACTTCAGGGGATCTTCCCGACCCAGAGGTCGAACCTACATCTCTTTTGTCTCCTGAATTGGCAGGCGGAGTCTTCATCACTGCACCACCTGGAAAGCCACTTCATCAAGTACCATGGCTCAAACTGCCAGAGGAAACAACCATCATCTGTATTATTAACTCAAAAATCTCTATTTTTAAAATGAAAAACATAATCATATAGAAGCAACTATATTTTCATCCTGTAAATATTAGAACACTGGCACACAGGAGGCAGTTACTAAATGCTTCATATAGTTACTCTATATGAAGAATACTCAAGAATACCATAAACTTCAGATCATTTACACTCTGCAAAAAATCTTCAAACATTTCTGACCTCTTCCTCCCCCACCCTATCCCCTGCTCCAAAAAAAAAAGAAAGAGAAAGACATTTTGAGGGTACCTTAGCAAGACATTTTGAGGGTAACAGCAAGGTGTGCTGTTAACAGAAATGTTTTCACTTCTGAAGATTTCTTTTCTTAGAATTATTAGAAGATAAAAATTTGGCCCACCTTTAACCAGAATCTGGAACAAATTTGAATGTACCAAGTTAAACAAAGTTACACAATGGACCAATTTTTACAAAATGACACTGCTTTGCTAATGTTGCCAATACACTGTTCTCTTCCCAGAGGCTGCTTCAGAGTTCAGGGACTACATGATAACAACACTTCCTGGCCCAATACCGAAATGTGAAAATAGCTCCATCAGCTATTTACCAAATTGCACAGAATTAATGACAAGTCATAATTCCATTATCAACATGCTATCATGTTGACAGAATACAAGGTAAGGAATATGAGTAACACAAGTACATGGGCTGAAGAGAATCACTCAATATTGCTCAGAGGTTTTTGTTGTTTATTCGGTTTTGTGTTCAAGGAAAAGTAGAGAAGGGATTTTTTAAAAACTGTATGTTCTGTGCTCCTGTAGCACTCTGGGTTGATCTCTAGTACAGCACTGACCTCACTAATACTCTAAGTTGTATCTACTGACCTGTCTAACCCATTTGATTTTATTCTTTTAGAATAGGAACATTTAGAACTTTGAATCCACAGAATTGACAATACAAGCGGCATTCAATAAATGTTCTGTCCAAAAAATAAGTTCTTAAGGTGATTACTGAGTACCATGCTATGTGTTGTTCTATCAGTGCAAAACAAGTACATATGCACACTCCTTTTTTTGAAGGTCGACCTAAAACATGATCATCCTTCATCCAGGTTATAACTCAGCAGGAATTTAGGAAGTGCTTGTTGAGGCTCATCTTCTTTTGTGTCTACATCAGACCTCAGAACAAAGCATTATTTCATGGTTCCTAAAATACTTATCATTTGTGAATAGTAACTGTGCAGATGAAAAGTATTCCATTTAATCATCTAAAGCAAGAGCAAACAAAAGAATATCCAATGCAAAAGAAGACCTCTCTCCTTTTAAAGGGTCACTGTCTTAATGGCTAATAACTCCCTAAGTATCTTTGACTAACTTGAAAAGTCAAGTCAATAGAACCATCTGGATTAGGCAGAGTTTTGAAAGCTGGAATTAGGTGAAAGACAATATTAGCTCAAATATCTCTCACCAGGATTGTAAGCACCAGTAAGGAAGGGTGCCAGATGGTTAGCTCCTGGCTCCTCCAGCTTCAGGCTGAGTAGGTGTAGCCCGGGGTGTACAATTACCTTATATTAACACCCACGTATTGACAGGTGCCAGCGACTTGTACACGATAGAGATTCTGGGGTGACATATCCAGCTGTAAGGCCTGCTTATAGTATCAACGTATCTCAAAAGGGTGTAAGAATCTTAAAGGGTTCAGCTGGCAGAATGGAAGGGGAGAAATATCGAAGAGGAAGAGAATGGCTGAAAATGAAGAATGAAAAAGAGCAGTTAGATTATCAGAATATTTCTCTGGGAGACTATTTTGAATTTTGAACTGCCGCTTTCCTCCACCGCACGTAGTTAGAAAGGAGTGTTCCTGAGGCAAGAGGAGGGGGGTCCGATCAGTTCCCGCCCTCAGTCAGCAAAGGCTCCGCTCTACATAATTACTGCCAACTCCATTCTTGCCTGGAGAATTCCAGGGACGGGGGAGCCTGGTGGGCTGCCGTCTATGGGGTCGCACAGAGTCGGACACGACTGAAGCGACTTAGCAGCAGCAGCATAGTACCCAGAAGTGAGGAAGGAGCAAAGGATCAGCAGTTCCTCCACTCCCTTTCTCGAGGGGGAGGGGTTCACGCTCCTTGTATTCCCCTCACCAGAAGAAGTCGCGGGAGAAAGAGGGTGGGGAGGGAATCCGGGGTCTCCGTGGACTCTCAGGCTGCGGAGGATGTGGAGAGAGAAGACCCTTACCTGGCTAAAAGCGGTCTTTCTTCTGCGCTGCTATCAGCCCCGCCACGGGTCCCTGGCGCTCTGCCTCGCGCACCTGTCGCGACCTAGCTGCAACACCTACAGCTCTCTGCGGCCCCGCCCCGGTCCGGCTCAGAGCCCCGCCCAGGACCCCGCCCACAGCCGCGGAGGCGCGCACGTCGGCCCGCCTCCTGCGCGGCCTCGGGGTGGGCGTGCGCGCCTCTGGTTGCGTGTTCGCTCTTTGAGGCTGTTAGCTGTGCTCCGCTTTTCTGCGTAGGCGCCGGGAAGGGCGTGGCTGCATTTTCCTGGGACTGTTTCTAAACTCTTTGCTTTCTGTGGAGAGCACGCACCTGCATGGCCTAGAGCTCAGTGCTTCTGTACTTTGGTTTTAACCCTTTGACTCCCAGCTATTAGAGTTTTTGACTCAAGAGCGACTAGAAGATTTGTCCTGGTTCAAGTGTAGGCCAGTCACCAAGCAGGTTCTTGGTGCTTTTGGGGTAAGTTCTGTGCAGGGAGGGTGTTTTAAAGGAGACCTTAGGGTGTAGTGGAAAGAGCTATAAATTAATCCTGGCTCAACCGCTTAACGCCAAATCGTTTCACCTGACTAGAGCACAGTTTCTTCATGTAAATGAAGGGGTTGGACAAATGCAGGTCTCCCAAGTTCTCCTGCAGCTCTAGCCGTTATTATTCCTTCATTTAGAGCTCTGCTCTAAACGTTGAGGTCGTTAGGAGGCCTAACACTTAGCCTTCCCGGCCCTAGATTTTGCCCCAGGTACGTGTGGGCTGCATGAATGCCCTTCCAGAGTATCTTTTCCTTTTCTTGCACCCCAGGTGTAGTCAAGTTCAAACTACAAGTTCTCTGCAGTTTTTGGAATTCAAGTAGCTTGATAAGTACTATAAGCGGCTCGTGGTCGTAAACACCTGTATTTACACTTCCTAAAGCAGTTAAGGGGCTTCCCAGGTGGCACTAGTGGTAAAAAAAAAAAAAAAAAAACCCGCCTTCCAATGCAGGGGATGGAAGAGACAGTGATTCGATCCCTGAGTTGGGAAGGTCCCCTGGAAGAGGAAATGGCCACCCACTCCAGTATACTTGCCTGGAGAATCCCATGGGGAGGAGCCTGGTGGGCTACTGTCCATAGGTAGCAGAGTCCAACTTGACTGAAGCGACTTAGCACCCACACATGCAAAGCAGTTAGTTAAGGACGATTTCTATAGACCAGTCACTTGTTTTGTTCTTTCAAATACCCAGCCTAGCCTAACTGTGGATAGGTATCAAACATCAAGACTCATATTCCCATGCTACCTGCCAGTTTTCTTGAGTCCTAGCAAATATATAGGATGGTACTTAAGAAAATTCATCCCATTAGATTCGGCGTTCCTTTAATAAATTACCCGTCTCCATTTTTTTTTTAACAACCCAATAAAGGTCCTTATTCTCTGCTAAAGAAATTAGGAAGACTAACTGAGGTCAGAATTTTGGACCTAGATTTCAGTCTTGACTCAGCCACTTACCAATTAGGCAAATTACTACTTGTTCTCTTGCACCTCATTAAGTGCCCTCTTGGTAATAGAGTTAGTTGTATACCACAGTTGGCTTTTACCAGTTTGCAGGACTGATTACTGGGGATTCCACGTGGCTCAGTGGTTAAAAGAATCCAGCAGTGCAACAGCTGCAGGAGATGTGGATTTGATCCCTGAGTAGGGTAGATCCCTTGGAGGAGGAAATGGCAGCCCACTCCAGTATTCTTTCTGGGATGATCCCATGGACAGGCACCTAAGATCTGTCTTTGGAGGGATCTTTGATCTCTGTATTTGGAGGGATTTTTATGAGTCAGTTGTTAAGCATAACCACTATTAAAAGTCAAATTATATAAACTAACAAGTATGTTAAGAGGTAATAAATGCTCAAAATCTCACTATTCTTTACTTCATTTTACTAATAACTCTAAATGTTGTCTACTTATCTGTAGGATGGAAATATACTGTATAACGTTGTATGTGTTTCTTCCCAACTCTATTCATGTTCGTGTGCTTGTCTCGTTTGTAGCATGAAATTGGCTGCAGTAGGAGTATTTATACATGGAAATTGGCAAACACTACAAACAAAGGCTTGGTTTCTTGCTGTATTCATTTTCTAGACAAACTGTAGGCAATTTTTTCTGTAAACAGCTTGTTAGTAAATATTTAAGGCCTTCTAGTACATATGGTCTTTGTCACAACTACTCAACTTTTGAACATAAATGGGCATAATTATGTTCTGATAGTGCTTTATTTACAAAAAACAAGCAGTAGGCTCATGGAGAAAATATTAATACTTAACAGTGTATCAAATCTGTGGCCTTAACATTTTGAGTAGTACAAAAAGTTTAAGTATTTTTCCAGTATTCAAAAGTTATTATGCAGTTCCATAAAGCAGTTGCTCATGTCACTGATATATGAATGAAGCTCCCAACAGTGAAGTTCACTGTTTTTCTTTTGTCTTACTACTGAGTAAAACAAAAAAGGTCAGTTTTCATCCCAGTCCCAAAGAAAGGCAATGCCAAAAAATGCTCAGACTACCGCACAATTGCACTCATCTCACACCCTGGCAAAGTGATGCTCAAAATTCTCCAAGGCAGGCTTCAACAGTACAAGAACCGTGAGCTTCCAGATGTTCGTGCTGGATTTAGAAAAGGTAGAGGAACCAGAGATCAAATTGCCAACATCCATTGGATCACTGAAAAAGCCAGAGAGTTCCAGAGAAACATCTACTTCTGCTTTATTGACTATGCCAAAGCCTTTGACTGTGTGGATCACAATGAACTGTGGAAAATTCCTAAAGAGATGGGAATACCAGACCACCTGACCTGCCTCCTGAGAAATCTGTATGCAGGTCAAGAAGCAACTGTTAGAAATGGATATGGAACAGCAGACTGGTTCCAAATTGGGAAAGGAGTACGATAAGGCTGTATATTTAATTTCACCCTGCTTATTTAATTTCTATGCACAGTACATCATGAGAAACGCTGGGCTAGAAGAAGCACAAGCTGGAATCAAGACTGCCAGGAGAAATATCAATCACCTCAGATATGCAGATGACACCACCCTTATGGCAGAAAGTGAAGAAGAACTAAAGAGCCTCTTGATTAAAGTGAAAGAGGAGACTGAAAAAGTTGGCTTAAAACTCAACATTCAGGAATCTAAGATCATGGCATCTGGTCCCATCACTTCATGGGAAATAGATGGGGAAACAGTGGAAACAGTGAGAGACTTTATCTTTTCAGGCTTCAAAATCCCTGCAGATGGTGACTGCAGCCATGAAATTAAAAGATGCTTGCTTCTTGTAAAACAAGTTATGACCAACCTAGACAACATATTAAAAAGCAGAGATATTACTTTGCCAACAAAGGTCTGTCTAGTCAAAGTTATGGTTTTTCCAGTGGTCATGTATGGATGTGAGAGTTGGACTATAAAGAAAACTAAGCACTGAAGAATTGATGCTTTTGAACTGTGGTGTTGCAGAAGACTCTTGAGAGTCCCTTGGACAGCAAGGAGATCCAACTGGTCAATCCTAAAGGAAATCAGTCCTGAATATTCATTGGAAGGACTGATGCTGAAGTTGAAACTCCAATAATTTGGCCACCTGATGTGAAAAACTGACTCGTTTGAAAAGACCCTGATGCTGGGAAAGATTGAAGGCGGGGGGAGAAGGAGACGACAGAGGATGAGGTGGGTGGATGACATCACTGATTCAGTGGACTTGAGTTTGAGTAAACTCTGGGAGTTGGCAATCGACAGGGAGGCCTGGCGTGCTGCAGTCCATGGGGTTGCAAAGAGTCGGACACAACTGAGCGACTGAACTGAAACCAAAAATGTCAGTCAGCATCCATGTCTGAACTACACTTCTTTGGCAGTGATGTGAACATCTTGTTTGCTAAATCAAATTGTAATTAAGCATTTATTCATAGTCTGATTGTTGTGAGATATTATTGGGAAAATAATTAAAACTGATAGTAGATAGTCAAGAAATAGCAAGTCACACTGAAGGTACAGGTATAAACACAGTATTTTAGTTTAAAATTCATGCCAAAGACTCCATTAAAAAACTACTAGAACTAATAAATATGTTCAGTAAAGTTACAGGCTACAAAATCAATACACAAAGTCTGTTGCAGTTCCGTTCACTGACAGTGTAATATCAGAAAGAGAAATGAAGAAAATAATCCCATTTACAACTGCATCAAAAAGAATAAAATAGGAATAAATTTAATCAAGGAGGGGAAAAACCTATATATTGAAAACTATAAAACATTAACAAAAGAAATGGAAGAAGACACAGATAAATGGAAACATATTCTGGGCTCATGGATTGGAAGAATTAGTATTCTTAAAATGTCCATACAATCCAAAGCAATCTAGAGATTCAGTGTGATCCTTATCAAATTCCCAATGGCATTTTTCAAAGGAATGGAAGTACTCTTAAAGTTTAAATGGAACCACACCAAAACCAAACCAAACAAACAAAAGAAAAACCCACAGCTGAATAACCAAAGTAATCTTGAGAAACAAGAACAAAGCTGGAGACATCACACTCCCTGACTTTATATTATAAATCTTTCATAATTAAAACAATATGGCATTGGCCTAAAAATAGACATGTAGATCAATGGAACAGAATAAAGAACCCAGAAATAAACCCATGCATAAATGGTCAATTAACTTATGACAAAGGTACCAGTAATATGTAATGGGGAAAGGATTATCTCTTTAGTAAATGGTGTTGAGGAAACTGTCTTACACCATAAACGAAAATTAATGCAAAGACATTAAAGATTTTCATGTAAAACCTGAAGCCGTAAAACTCCCAGAAGAAAAAACACAGACAGTAAGCTCCTTGACAGGTCTGTTGATGATTTTTTGAATCTGACACCAAAAGCAAAAGCCACAAAATCAAAATTATATAGGACTAAATCATACTAAGAAGCTTCTACACAGCTAAGGAGACCATCAACAAAATGAAAAGGCAACTTACTGAATGGGAGATAATATATATCTGATAATGAGGTAATAATACCCGAAATGTATAAAAAAACTCATACAACTCAATAGCAAATAAAGGTCAGTTAAAAATAGGTTGAAGATTTGAACACACTTTTCAATAGAAGACATACAGAAGGTAAACAGGTTCATAAAAAGATGCACAGCATTAATCATTCAGTTCAGTTCAGTCGCTCAGTCGTGTCCGACTCTGCAACCCCATGAATCACAGCATGCCAGGCCTCCCTATCCATCACCAAC